ATGGATAGTTAACATGTACAAATTGTACCTGGGTTAAAGTAATGAAAAGGTAATATCTGATCAAGCTTCATCAGTCAATTTAATAATAAAATAGGCAGCAGCTAAAAAAACCCAACAAACCAAAAACGCCAAAGAAAAAAAAAGCCCAACACAAAAACCAACCAGCCTCCCAAAAAACCTCAACCCAAACCAACAACAACAAAAACGTACAGCCACATCTTGGACGCCAGCTGTAGCGGTTCCCCTGCTATTTAATTGCTGTCGGCATGTGGGGTTCAATCAAGTGCTTTGCATGGACTGGATTTGGGAGTGAAGTTGGGATAAGGGAACCACGTTCAGGGTGAATCTGATGTTATCACAGTGAAGTAGCAGGGTATGTGTGGTCAGATGGACCTGACACAATTTAGCTGAGAGAAAGGTAATTTATTATACTGTAGATTTAACTATGTGTGATCTGATGATATTCCTAAAGGGCAGAACTGCCAGGTGAGCCTGTGCTATTAAGGTTTGTTTAGGCTGTGCAGTGGTGATAGCTCCATCGTTACTGCTGTGCATCCCTGTATATCTCACGTACAGTTGTGTAAGGGCTCAAGTTCTGTGGAAATATTAAAGTTGTTGTTTTGCAAAATAATATAAATGTTGCATACATATTGGAATTAAGTACTAAAGAGCACAGTTTGTACAATGGGATAAAGATCTCCAGAATACATTTGTTTTACTTTGCAGCTTCGTTAAGCAATCAGTTCTGCTTCTGTTGAAGACTGGAGAGCAGCAGCTGGCTAACGCCTTGGTTGTGGAAGCTGTTGGAGTTGCTTTTAATGGGAATACACTTTATAATTTTTTTAAGTGCATTGTTGAATAATTACAGCTTTGAACACATCTGCCTAAGCCATACTTATGTATGATTTGTTAAAATCTTTCTTTGAAGTTCTATTACATTACTGCAAAAGGGGGAAAAAATCTTGTGCGCTAACATGCAAAAGTTTCACTGTTCTGCCAGAAAAATTACATCTTTGCCAAGCAAAATAAATCTATTTTGAAAGGAATGTTGAAGGATAGAAAAAGATTTTTAGAATAGCTAACTCTTAGTTTTTGCAAGTGAATCTTGAGTTATGAACAAGTGATTTTGAACTTGTTAAGATATCATCTGCTACTCCTGGAATTACTGGGTCCCGGATCTTGCCCCAAGTACCCCACTGTAATTAGGAAATAGCTTAAACCTTCATCGAGGGACAAGCTTCTTCAGTCTTACTGTGCAATAATGGAGTAACTCGGTTCCTGCAGAGTACCTGAAGTGCTGCAGGTTCATACCTCACTTACTCCAATATAGTTCATCCACGGTTCCTCAAAAAAATCCTGAGGCCATTCTGGGTATTGTGTCTTACCTTGGTTCAACAATATTTCAAAACATCTTGTATCTTTCTGCAATTAAAACATTTCATCATGGGAACCCACACTTCTCTTCTTCGATTCTGCCATGAGGTATTTTCAAGACTATTTGCAGGTTAATTAACTTCTTTGCATCTTGGTTACTTACTCTGTAAAATGCAATATTAGTTTATAACACTGTGGAGGTGGCCAGATAGTATCATAGTGTCATTACTGCTGTCATTCATCTGAGGTTTAGTTTTATTCTGCCTCACCCTGCTCTATCTTTGTAAGTGCCACAGGTGGAGCTTCTGGGAGTAGGTAGGAGTCTGTGCAACTTCTGTGTTGTAGAGTCTCATTAATTATTCTAATAAAGCAAGAGCCAAAGCCTTAATATTTGGAGGTCTTTTGTAAGATTGTAAAATAACAACAGAGGTAACTTCAGCATGTCTGGCATAGCTGTTTCTATTCCTTGAGTTTAAATGACCCTCTCAAGAAGTAATATAGGATTGAATCTTTAGGTAGGTTTCATTGCAAAACTGAAGATAAATTTGTGTGCGAAGAAGTTTTACATCTTTTATCTTTTTACATCTTTGTCTATAAACCTGCATTGAGATTTTTCAGATCTATCCAAAGAGAGGAGTCTTGTTCATTCTCACAGAAATCATTCTGAAAATATGTATCCCACAGCAGTGCTATTCATTCTTCAGGTATTGATATCTAGCTTTTGGAAAAGGTGTAGGGTGGATTAGTTTATGCTGTATGGTTTAATGATTAGTATATTCTTTTAGTTTTCTTTATTGAGAAACAGGAAATACATGCCATTACTTTGCTATATCGTCATTGAATATAATACCATCATGCTTGTATTCATTGACTGTAAATCAGGAGTGAGCGATTTAAATTTGCATTGTAGCTTATGGTGTATGCAGTTGCAGAAACAAAGATAAGAAATGTTAATTTCTGAAGCTGCAATAAAGTGATGAAGAAGATATTTCTGTAGGATTGATCTCCAGGTGAATTCTTCCACTGATCTTATTAATGAAATCCCTTTCTAATGCCAGGGAATGTAGTCAGTAATCTAGAACAGAAACAAGTGGCTGCTCATTATACTTGCTTTACATTGCAAATACATCTTTTCATGCTACCTCAAAGGATCACAACTGAAATGAGCTTCATCGGTGAATATTACCTTAAAGTGACAGATAATTTTGCATGTTTATAATGGTGAACTATACTCAAGATGTGGACTATCCTCTTAAACTATTGCTTGTACAAATCATTCTGTTGGTCAGCACCTTGAACATGTTAAGGGACCACTTGCGGGAGTTTCCATTAGCTGGAAGGAAGGGTGGAGCATCTTGCACCCCCAGCATGTCTCCAATACCACGGGCTGAGAGGAATGAGGTGGGCTGCCAGCCTGGCGTGCTCATCACCTCTTGTCTTTGATCCATATATACCATAAAATAAAATTCTTATTTCCCTGCCATCTACTCTTTCTCTGTTATTAAAAAAGAAATAAAAAAAAGAAAGATGACAGTACATACAACTGCTCAGAGTATAGGTACTGTATTTCAGATTTCATCCATAGACAGAGTAAGTGTGGCTTGCAATTTTCCATTTACTCAGTTATCCACGTAGTTAGATGCCCTCTAGTTAGTTATGTAGCTGTGGGCAGCTTCCGTTAGAGCCTGTGTTTGTCCCCAAAGCAACTCTGAATAGCTTTTCTCTCCCACAGTATGTCCTGTACATATACAGTTATATAAAGTAGTTTCTGAAATGTTTTTTAATTGCTTTTGCTAGTTATAACTTGGACACTACTGAAAGCACAATTTTCAGTTTATCGGGAATAAATTCAAGAAGCTATGTTGATTTAATTTTCTTAACATCTTTCAAAATGTTCAAGTGACAACTCTGGGCTTTGTGGTCTTTATGTCAGTATTAATTCTTAGGCTTATTTTGTTTCAAATAATTCGTTATACATATCTTAGGAATATAATTTGATGTCTACATACGAAGAACAAATTTACAATTTTCTGGACACTTTGCAAATCTATTGATGAAGCTGAGGCTGAAGTAGCTACAGTCTAATTAAATACATATATATGTATATACACACACATTGGATTGTGCATTACTGTCGCATATCTTCCTTACAAAGCATTATATCCTTTTTAATTTTATGATTTAGGAATATAATTTGATGTCTACATACGAAGAACAAATTTACAATTTTCTGGACACTTTGCAAATCTATTGATGAAGCTGAGGCTGAAGTAGCTACAGTCTAATTAAATACATATATATGTATATACACACACATTGGATTGTGCATTACTGTCGCATATCTTCCTTACAAAGCATTATATCCTTTTTAATTTTATGATTTGCAACTTTCTTGGCTGAAGAGAGGCTGTTTGAAAAATCTTTAGGAAAGAGGCTGTAAATATGTCATTACAAAACAAATCACAGGCTCTCACCCCATCAAGGCTTCAGCTGAAAGGAGCAAGCACTTTTAAGATGGTTCTTTGTAAAATGTATTTGTCTGTAACAGTTAAATATAATGACTTCGATTATTTGGAGGTTAGAAAAAATACTTTCTTTTTTAATCTCCCTATTACATGAGCCACTTAAACAGTTTCAGAAAGAGATGAACGTGCTACTGAAGATTTTTCTTTTTATGGTAAGTACTATAGTGGCAGATGCTGAAGCTAGAACTGGAGGTGCTCTGAAGCTTAAAAAGCAGAGTCTCTACAATGTAAGCACAAGAGATATGCCCTTTAGGTAGAATTTTAAGAGTCATTTCTCCTCTACATAGTGGGTACAGAAAGGTGTATATATTGCTCAACTCCTTTGTAGAGGAATAAAAACTGAGAGGCAGCATTTGTTGTAAACCTTATTGATTTCTTTTGGGTTTTGTTTGGTTTTTTGTTTTGTTTTTTTTTTGTGTTTCTGTAATTCAGATGTACGTACAAACCTCAAATAAATACAAAGCAGGATAAAGGCCTGGATATCGTAATATAAGCAGTGAATGTGCTACTGCCAGGTTTTTCCACAAGAGGAAGATGCAATTATTGCAATATTTACTACAGAAGATACCAAGAATGAAATACAAATGTTCATTTGTGTTTAAAAGAACAACTTTTCTTATTTGATTTTTACATTTTTACACTACTTGTACTTCATTCATAGACTTTCAGTCCATCCTTGTTTTATGTACAAGATGCTAAATACTGTAAAGCGAGGATTTGTGAATCTCCAGGTGTTTAGGACACTCAGTATGAGAGTGCTTCTAAAAATAAATTGTTTACTGCAGTTCTGCATCTGAATACTTAGAGCCATCGCTTGCTTGGTTTTTCCTCACAACTCCTGCTGCCTGTCTGAAAATGGATGAAAAATAAGTTACTTCACATTTTCATCATATGTAATTTGAACAGAATACTTCTATTTGAAGGTGATGTTTTATTACTCTTGGGAATTAAGTTGTCAATCAGATACGTGTCTGTTTCCTTTGTGAGGACATTAGATAACAAAAAAGCACAACTACTGTACTTCTTTGATACAAAAATGTATGTGTAAGAGCCTATATTTCTTGATTAGAAAAATTGCTAATTCTCTTATTTTTATTTCAGCTTTACTTTTGGAAGCTCAGTCAACGCCGTTTCAAATAACTCCGTCTACCATGGCAAATATTGTGAAAGGCCTGTATACACTACGACCAGGTAAAAAAGAAAAATGTTTCTAGGAGTCTCTTGTACTGTGGTTGTGATATGTTTTCCTAAATACGTATGCGGTCACTATCTATCTAATGCACATTTAACAACCAAATGTGCATTGTGCTCTGTCCATCGTAATGCTTAGTTCTACTATGCAAAGGCCCTGGTTCTTCTTGTTGCCCATCTCTGTGACCTGCGCAAGGTACCATGTGAATACCAAGTTCATTTTAAAAAAACAACCCTACCCTCTACTCTGGAGACAAAGGGAAGACCTATTTCTTTCACTCTGTAGAAGTAAAGAAGACTGTTTAATGAGTCAGTCATGGCAGAAGTTTATAGGTATTGAAATGGTGAAAGTTATACTGTGAGTCGCACTTCAAACGGCCAGATCTTTGACATGAGATTAATGACTGTTTCTTCTATGAAGCCGTTATTTGGTTGGTATTATTTCACAGAAGAGCTTAATTAACTCGTGAGTACATCATGACATCTTGTGCAACAACAATTATATTGAAAGGAAAATGGTGTTGCAGATTTTAATCAATTTTGTACCAAAATCTTTGGTTCTGTAAGTTTCGGAGAACAGAGTAGAGCTCTAGCCTGTGTTTGAAAAGACTTTAGAAACAGGAAGTATTCAAAATATCCCTAAATAAATGGTACCTGCTTCCCTTCCTTTTACAATACTGATACGTTCTTCTTTCTTTGGTGTGACTGAGAGAAGGATTGTGTCTAAGTTTCAGTCTATTTTTGCTTTGCAATCCCCATTTATAGAAATAGAAATGAGGATGGGAAAACTTTACAAAAAGCTTTAGTGCAATGTTTAGCATGCATACAAGCCAGGAATGTGATGGACCCTCCATTTACAAAATGCATGAATAAAGCACTTTCAGTAAGCAAGGATTATTTTTACAACAGCAAAATTAACATCCTACCATCATTTTTAAGGCAATACGAATTTCATTTTTATAAACTGTTCAATACCAAAGAAAGGAAGGGTGTATACATAAGTATAAAAGTATAATTCTTATGAAAGCAGGTCAGTGTGGTTTTCTTGTACCGCACTTAATATTGTAGGTGATGGACTTGTGATTTCCCAGTTTTCGATTTCAGATGATCCCTGTCTTGCTGTCTGCTTCACAACACAACAGATACTGGTTTGGGCTGGTATCATGGGCCTAATCAGATTTTGAATAGTTGTGTCTGTAACATAATCAAGTATAAAAATTGTTCCTACAATTTGTGATATCTGCTTTCCACAGCTGGGTAGGAAGACCCAAGTGATTGACGATAAGTTATTGCTTAAACAAATACGCATTTGCTCTAATTACCTGCTCCTCAAACTTCTCAGCCTCTGAGAAAATGAGGAACTTTAATGTCATTACAACCAGCAGAGCACAGGATAGACTTCTTGATGTAAAAGTCTGTTTTTTGGTGGTGCTAGTTCTTGAGGATTAATCCTGAAACAATCAGGGCAAGAGTTCCTCTGAGGTGGTGCTTCTCACTTATTCTGTGGGACATGCTCCGTTGGATGCATCATGGGGACTGGCAAGCAGATAACTGGGGAAGTAAAGCAGAAAATGTGGCCAGTGTGACATGCTGGGGGATTAGAGCAGCACTGGGAAGCGTCTGTTTAGGCAGTGCAGAGAGCAAAAGGAGAAACGATACTGATGTGGCTGGTGGCCATGGGCTTTCTCTTCTTTCTCTTCTTTTACTTTCTCTTCAAGTTGAAAGTACTTGACAGCTGTTAGACTTCAAATGTTGCCAGAAAAGACTGTGTTCCAATTCTAGCTCCAGCACGTGGTGGCTGCAGTAGAAAACACTGAAGCCTGGCCAGGTGCTCAGGCTGCTAGTTGGGCCACTTGGATTTAATCTGAAATACTCTTCACCTCACCTATAATGATCTGGCAGTGGCGTGAAATACCCTGCCACAGTATTTCATGTTGTGAATTCCAAGTCAGTTTATTAGCTTGGCTAAATTATTCAGTAGCAGTAGGTTATTAGTAGGTAACATGTTCTACGTGGTACCTTTTTACTGTATTTCATAAGATGAAGAGTGCCGTTTCATGTCTAACAAACCAGGAGCAGAGTAATGGAGTGAGCAAAACTATAAGGTAATGAAAATGTAAGGAATGTAAATGAAAGATAAATGTTACTGTTTATTTACAGCTACAACAATGTTATGGAGAATAGATTCTACAGTATTCAACTGACTTTTATATTAAAAATTACAAGGAAATTGCAAGTTTTTGATGGTGTGTTCAAAAATCTGAGGAATTTCTATTGTCCTCTGTTTTTTCAATCTAGACAAAAACTTGTAGATGATCTAATTAAAATGGTAAAATTAATTTACTGTTCATGGCAAAATAGTTGAATTTTACTTCACAGCTGAAAGTTAACAAAGGTTTAAAGAAAATTCTTACTTGAAGTAGAACTGGTTATATACCATATTTTTGAATTCTGATAAACCACATTTATACGAAAGCAAGTTCCATTTTAATGTGCTTGCTTGTGCCCTATCTCATATTGAAGAGGTCAGATTTAATACATAATAATTTGCCCTATAGTAAATAAAAAAATATTCCAAAATATTTTCTAATACTTCTGCTTTTATTATACTCACTCACGGATCCACTTTCCAACCCTTTGGAATACAAGCATTAAAAAGTGATCTCCAGCTTTCTTTTGAATGTGTGTATTTAAGAACTGTGACTGAGCAATACTGGAGGCTGGAGGCTGAGGGGAGACCTCTCTACAACTACCTGAAAGGAGGTTGTAGCCAGGTGGGGGTTGGTCTCTTTTCCCAGGTAACACGATAGGATACAAGAGGAAATGGCCTCAAGTTGTGCCAGGGGAGGTTTAGATTGGATATTAGGAA